GCGCCGGCAGAAGGGCCAGCGTATCACGGCGGTGGGCTCATTTGCAGAGTGGCACACGCTGGGCCCATCCGGCAGATGTGAGCACGTGGGGCATGCGAGGACTGCTGCAACTCATCGGCTGAGTGCACCGAGTCCGTCTCGGCATTGTTAGGCGACTCTGCGAGTTGGCACGCCAGAGTTTGGCGGGAACAGGCATAAGAGCACCGCAGGCTCAGCTGCCTGACGACGAGCACTGCGTCGGCACGAGCCGAGGGGCATCTGGTCTCTGACGCTTGTGTTATATTTGCCTATTCGTCTTGTCTGTGACATGATTAAAAAAGTTTGAAGGGTCGCGCCCCACAGTCATCAGTCAAGCCCACCAATCACGCGTCAGCAGTTCCCCAGGAGGCGTCCAAGGTCACGGTAAGAACCGTCCCGCACGCTTGTCGTTGGGGTCTAAATCAAGAGAAACAACTGAGAACCATTTGGGTGTACCTCCAAGCCAACAGCGGCCAACATCTACCCAAGATCTTTACGATCTGTGCGTAGATTCATAAAGTCAAAAATCAAACGTAAATCAACCAAAATTCTACGATTTCGTCGGTTGAAATGGCAAGAGCCGTCATCAGCCGATTTTAGAGTCATGTCGTTTATGCTTGGGGTACAACTGTCAAGGTCCACAACGTTTTGCGTATTAATTTGACTCCTTAAATTTCTCGATGAAGGCCAGAAGCAAAAACATGAAATGCTGTTCACTTAACAATACTTTGGTTCAGCTTCAATAAAAATTCATTACTGAATTTTGATTTGTAATAAACAGTGGCGTGGTCTGCCTATTACTGTCCGATATTACGTTTCATGTCAGCAGACGTCCAATGACTAGAATTCACACGTGAATGTAAGGTCACTGTAATTCCGTGCATTCAAAATCTTCATAAAGCATGCCTGATCAGTGATAAGACCCATATGTTTATGTATATATGTATATATATATATATATATATATATATATATATATATATATATATATATATATATATATATATATATAATACACAGCCATCTTATGTGGACTTCATGAGCTCTTATGATGAAAATAACCGACCTTCAGTATCCCAGGAGTACTTGTCAATAGGTTTCATCTGCGCGTTTGTGTGGACGTGCGTGCGTGCGTGCGTGCGTGCGTGCGTGCGTGCGTGCGTGGGTGTGCGTGCATGCGTGCCTGTCCGATAAAATCGTTTAATCAATACCTCTTGACGTGTTGCAGGGCGGTTATTTTCAACAAAGGCACCATAATGCCACATTCTTGTCCATATCAAGTGTTCATGTAAGAGTCATATTTGTGAACCGCATTAGAATTACCTGCATGATAATAATACACCCGCATCGCCGTCGTTACCTCGCTGGGTGATTACCGCCCTTCACAGGTGGCTTGTACCACTGGCCTATTCCCATTTGTACGCTGGCTATTTGCCGTGTTTGCGACCGCTACGCATGATGTGAACGATGTTTATTTACACGCATACATTTGAACTGAAACGATATCATTTTGTTACACGCTGCGACCGGCGGTAGAGGCCTCCACGGGTAGAACTTCCCTAACCAAAATCACACGCCCCATAATACAATGGGACAAATCCCAAACTTCTGCGGAATTCAGCATTGGACTTATGGAGTTTCCAGGAATGAGTGACTCTAAGCACCTCTGTGGTCCCCGCTGTGACCCACTGTGGAGCTCCCGTGATCAAACTACTCTGTATTTATGGGGTTCGGGCCATACCCAGTGCTAAGCCATCCATTACCCACTCGCTTCCTGGTTTCCCATGCTTTAATTTAAACTTCTAAAGCGATGAGAACCTTGCACTTGGATTCATCACTCTTGCCTTGGGAATTGCTTAAGGGAGGTGAATTATCATCCAGTCATGACAAAAAGTACGGCCAATATTATGTTTTGCGTTCAGCACTTTGAGAAGTGTGCACCCGGCCCCGCTCGATACCAATATACCCAGCTACGCCGCCTAGCCCCGCCATCCCGCTGGTGTAACGATGAGTACGCCGGGCTCGTCTCAAAACAAGCGAAAAGCTTGAAGGGGGGGGGGGGGCGAGGTACGTGAATATGCTGTTTCAACTTCCACCTAAAGTTTTGAGAAAAAAAGCACCTAAAATTTCCCCGACAAAGGAATGCCGCACTCCCCGTAAGCTGCAACAAAGTACTGCGAGTGGCTGCTGCGCGTGGGCGAGCGTCATTGGCCTGCCATGACAAGGCACGTCCGACATCCGTGTCACGGTGTCACGGCTCAGCGAAAAGGACTGGACAAAAAATACGTCATAATTCGAGCTATCTGGGTACTGGGGCAGTGTCCACGCCGCAAGCTATAAGCTTGGCGGTTCTTGATCCCGGGGCCATTCGAGTCATAAATCGGAGGCTAGATTTATATTATATATATATATATATATATATATATATATATATATATATATATATATATACATATATCTGCGTTAACTTGGATTTATCAACCCGTGAAGGCCTCTGGACACATGCGAATACATAAAGTGACATGACACCTGAGACTGGATCGTGCTGTTAAATATGCGTGTCACTCGATACTGTACACTGTACTAGCCCCTCCCCCCCCCCCCCCACGTCAGGTACATCACTTCTTATCCTCCTCCATTCCACGGATAAGTACACATAATCAAAATACAATCGCTCAAGTTCATCGCAAATGCTGCAAGCAGTCATTCGCTTCCCTTTTCTTCGATTTCACTTCCCCTCCCTCAAAAGTTCTCACTAACGACCCAACCCACAAGACAGCACAGAGGAGCAAAAGGGCTCCCAAACACAAGTGGCCAGTCAAGCAACACTTGCCGTTCTCGGCAAGAGGCATGCGATAAATCACTAGGTAAATGTCACTTGCATTGACGGCACACAATTGACATAGTAAACGACAATGATCATGTTCAACTCTTCCTGGCCTTTCCCAACCGGGACCAGTGAACCGCTTAGCCATATTTGTAGTTGCTCTTCATATGGAGCATCTCACAAGCCAACGTGCCCTGCAAAAATCTTGACGTGTTATCTGAACGGCGTCAGAAATCGGCTACGTTAGGTTCGTCTTTCCCTCATAGACGCGATTAACAGCGGCTGTACAAGCGATGCTTCACTACGGGAGTGACCCAACACTTACACGGTGCATGTGTTACATGTGTTACATGACCGATCCCTGTGTTACAAGTGTTACATGACCAATCCCTGCACGCATGGTCTCAACGTGTAGTGACGCGTCACTTCATGCACTTTCGTTGCTTCGTGAAGCGGCGCGCCATTGTCTCTATCGCTCAGCCACAGCTGGCACAACGTCTCCCATCGCTCGACGATGGGCTACGCAAAGGCGCCATCGGTCGATGATGCCGTACGCCGAGCGTCTCTGTCGCCGAGTGTCGCGCCACACTCGTGCAGCGATCGTCGCAACGTCCCGTCGCACGGCGGCGCGGGCGTCAGTCGCACATTGTCCATCAGTTCAGCCACAAATCGGCCAGTCACAAAATCAACACCGATCGCCAAATTGTTAATCGGCTGCCAGATCCGCCAAAGCCATGAAGGAAATGGCTCCGATCGGTCCGCTAAGTGGCGCATGGCTGGAAGGGTCAAAGGCTGGTTTGACGTCACAAAACCACCAGCGGTTGGCAGGGGCCGCCGTAACACGGCGTTTACGACCTAAGGCTGGTCTGACGCTACAGAACCACTAGTGGTCGGCAGGCGCCGCCGAAACACGGCGTTTGCAGCCCAAGGTTGGTCTGACGTCACAAAACCACCAGCGGTCGGCAGGCGCCGCCGTAACACGGCGTTGACAGAAAGTGACCTGAAAAGAAAACACGGCACTAGAAACGTCCCGGCTGTCTTGGTCAGTAGTTTCTGAACCGTTTAAGATTGAGTCTTGAAGCTTCGTCTTCTTTTGAAGAAATCTCCTCGCAAGAATTCTTGCAAGCGAAACACGCTTGCAAGAATTCAAGATCCCAGTGTGATAATATGGGGCTCCAGTATGGAACAGGCGAATACTTCACCACCGCCGCGCTGCGCCGCGCTGCCTCCGCGGTCTCATAGAGGCTATTTTAAACCGTTAATCGGCGTACCGACCTTCCTTATGGGTGCTGAGGAGCCGTTGAATCGCTCCTGGTGAGTGGGAGCTGGTGCCAGACCCCCTCCCATTCGTGTGTTCCCCGATGCTACTGTCGCCCGTTACTGAGCACTCCATTACCGAGAGCTCGCCTGCACAGACTCTTGATCGAGCTACACGCGACAGCTTGGGCGGGGCTCCCACCAGGTGGTGCATCAGCCCGCTCAAGGTTGACTGCCGCGGATCACCCAATAAGATGGGGGGGGGGGGGGGCGGGAGTTGCGAGGGTTCAGGATGAAGCAGACTGAGGAAAGAAGGGCGGACGTTCGTCACTCGTGCCTGCGCGCCGTTAACCGACCCGGAAACGGTATACCACCGCGAGCGGTAACAGCCGCAGCCAAGGTAAATTGCATGCAAAACACCTGAAGTAACTGCGGTGCTTAAACCACCAGAAACGCTGCAAGCCTGCAGATCATTAGCACAGCCGTGTCGCGGGAGCCGACGCGGTGAGAAGACAGCGACGTGTCGCCGAAATATGGCGTCTCAGCGGTCGGCCGCCGACGCAGCTGCACGGCCCCTGTGCGCTCCGTGCCGTCCTTCGACGCCCATACGATTGGTCGGTACTCAGGTCGCCGGGTCAAGATCGACGGTGTAGCGCCGCCAGGCGGCTGGGTGCGCCACTGCAGCGGAGATTTATCACGCTTTTCACGGTCGTTTTCACGGTTTCGATCTCAGGCGATTGGGAAGCTACAGGCCGAAAATCCTGGGGCTTGTGTTTGCCATGTTGCACGCCGTAGCGCGGCGGCGTCGGCTGGTCACCAGGCGCTATGTCCCACTCCACACCACCTGTGTCTGCAGGTCTACCAGATGAAAACGAGAACGAAACTTGCCGCTTCCCGTCGCTCCCATCGCTGAGTGGCGCGCCACATTGGACGCGCCCATCGTGACGTCACAGCGGCGCTTCACACCGAGTGTTTGCGCCGCCTGAGTGCGCTGGCGGCGCTGACATTGCCGCTGCCGGTGACAGGTGCTCTCAGGGAGGTGATGTGGTTGAACCGGGTAAAGTCCAGCCGCAGCGGGCTCGAGACGGCCCCTGTCGACAGGAGTGGGTCACGGGTCAAGATCAGTCGTTGCGAACCACGCACGATGGGATAGCGACGGACGATGCGCGCAGGTGGAGACGAGTCAAGGTCAGTCATCGAGAACTACGCTCGGTGGAATAACGACGAGCGGTGCAGGCGGGTAGGGGCGAGTCAAGGTCAGCCATTGCAAACCATGCCCGAGAGGCTGACAACAAACGGTGCGGGCGGGTAGGGACGAGCCGAGAGTCACGCGGGTCTCCAGTTGCGTGTGTTAGGTGTTACAGCGTTAAGAAGCAACCCACAAACCCGCCGCAGCCTACTAAAATTAATCGAGTAGAGTGTGCAAGATGTAAATATAACTTCATACCATCAGAATCCTGTCTCTCCGGCGGTCCCCGCACGCAATTTGTTGGCGCCAATCCGTTGCCCCTTGACCCCGATCCAGACATCTGGCCTACTCAGCCCATTTGTTAAGCCTGAGGCGCATAGATACTGATTTTACAGCCGCCCGGTTCGATGCTGATTGGACGATTTTGAGCAAGGGGATGGGCCACAGGCAGTGAGCCCGAATCCGAGGTATTATAGCGTGAATAATATGGACATCCCTCTCAACCAAGTTGGCCGAATATTGGAACGCTGTGACGCACGCATTATTTACAGGAAGCACCGAAAGTGTGATCAGAGGGTGCCTCTGGTAGCTGACGCCGAGCTCACGTTTTATCAGGTCTCAGGGTTCGCCGCAGGCTATTTACATAACTGCATTTCCGTAAATGTGTTTGGTGCGTTCTACATGAAGGATGCCTGAAGTTTACAGAACGGTGAGCGGCATCTACACAAATGCGTTTCGTTTATGTGATGTTAGGGGTGTTGGAATCAGAATCAAGCATAAGTCATGAAACGATCGCAATTGAGAACTGTGAGATGGGAAGCAAAAATATGGACATAATTCGTTGCCATCGAAAAGGCGCTCAACGGCGTGAAGTAACGAGAGTGTATATGAAACTTCGCATGAAAGCTAGCCCGCGTCTCGAACATGATTGCGCTGGTCTCCTGCAGGCACGCTATCATGTCGCGTAGGACGCCATCACCGCAACATGAACGTTAGCCCGCGTCTCGAACATGATTGCGCTGGTCTCCTGCAGGCACGCTATCATGTTGCGTAGGACGCCATCACCGCAACATGAACGTTAGCCCGCGTCTCGAACATGATTGCGCTGGTCTCCTGCAGGCACGCTATCAATGTCGCGTAGGACGCCATCACCGCAACAGGTCAATATCCCTGTGAGCGAAGGGGCCATTTATACATCCACAGACGCAGCGGGAGTTCTCGGCAAGGAGGTCCAGACGCACACAGGATATTCATACAACGGCCAGTATTTCTCTCTCCATTCCTCCAACACACGTACGCACACGCACAAACGGCGCACACACGTCTGTACACAGCGTCCCCTGTCACCCACAGAACAGTGGATCGCGCAGGTATCGGACGACGGGCGGTAACAGACACGGACAGGCGCCCGGGCAGGGCGCTCGGACCCAGGGCTTGGCACAGCACCTGCGAATGCCAACCGCCGGCCTGCACGGGACAGGAGCCCGGGCGCAATGGCGACGACACGGCAGGCCTGTCAGAATCAGAGCGTAGAGGAGAGAAGTCTGCGTGCGTCGGTGTGGGTCCGCCAGGAGTCCGGCAAGCGTCTAGTGCGGCGTGGTGGCCAGCGTGAGGAGCTGATGACGTACCTGCGGCCGGGGCGCCCTGACTGTCGGAGCCCGACGAAGTGGAGATGTCCTGGCGGCAGCAGAGCGGCGGTCCACGCCTGCAGCGGGCGTACACACCTGCGCGGAACGTCACACCAGACGGTCAGGTCACGCGGCACGCCACACCAGACGGTCATGTCACGCGGCACACAACCCCGGACGGTCAAGTCACGCGGCACACCATACCGGACGGTCAGGTCACGCGGCACGCCACACCAGACGGTCAGGTCACGCGGCACGCCACACCGGACGGTCAGGTCACGGGGCACGTTATACCGGACGGTCAGGTCGCGTGGCAGCGACCGGGACGCGAAGTTGGGCTGGGACGGCGGTGGTGGGGGAGGGAGGCGAAAGCAGGGAAACATTTGTGAGAGCGCGCGTTGGTGAACAGCCATTGGGAACCAGGAGAAGGTGAGGAAGGCGGCCGCCTTGAGAGACAAGGAGAACTCGTCGAAACACCGTGTCTAAATGCATCACGCCTGGAGTTGCTGAACGACAGCACTGGGCCGTGTAGACTAATCGCTAAGAGAAAACATTAGAACGTAATTTGGAATGCACTCGCGGCTAAGCCGTCCGCGGCCCGAACCAGCTTGTCTAAAGCAGCATGTGCAGGAGACCACGAATGCACATCAACCACCTGTCCAACTGGTCAGGGCTGAATACTCCCCGAACCCAAAAACATGGAATCACTCCGACCAGCACTGGTCAATGCTACTCTTTTGCGGTTCTTAATTACAGGGGATATACATATGGGTTGAAAATAAGTCAATTCGCCCCAGCATTCGGACTGTTGTGAGTCGCTGATGAATCGGACGAGTCTGTAAAACCTTGTTGTTTGAGGTGCGTGTCACCTCATGCGACGTCTTTCAAAACTGCGCCAGGTCGTAGTTCTGTTTTATGAAACTAGCCCTGGCTGGCTGCGAACTGTGCCCGGCCGCTGCCGCGTCAGCGAGTAGTGACGAGGAAGACCTACAGGTTCTGGCCAGTTCCAACCGAGACAAAAACCAGTTCTGATGGCAATATCAGTGGCGTATCCAAGACTAACCAAAAATGTCCCCCCTTCCCGAGAAGATAAAAATTCCAGTTTTAGGTGAGAGTTTGGGTGGCTGCCATTTTCACGCGTGGCTTCCTCAACTTGACCCTCCCTCCCCGGTCAGGTCAGATGGTGAGTCCGCCCTTGTATGGAGATCGATGTGCGGTTAGGTTACGCCGTCGCTGAAGGCTGCCGTGCGCGCGCGCCAGCAGATTTGAAGACCACTGTCATGGAGTGGTCATTTGCTGCAGCACAGCCCTCAAATCGCGTGCGTATGATGGGTGCGTTTAATGCCCCAAGAGTCCAAGAAAATGCTGTTTATTTTGATAATCATTCGAAACTATTCATTTCAAAAAAAATTAATAGTTCGATAGTAGCACAGTAACCGGAGGGGTCACGGTAATTTTCATGAAGGTTTTAACGTTCAACAGGTTTATTTCCATCCTATCATGAAAGTTCACTGTTGACGTGTATTTTTGTGTCAAATACTGAGGCTTCGCTCTACCAATCGGGGGGTATGAAAAGGATTCACTTAGAAAAAAAAAGCTTTCCTAGCTTTTGGAATATTTCTCCGCCCATGTTGATAATCCCATGCTCATATCCAGTTCATACCAGTCTGGTAGTAACGTGCATTGTCTTGGCAGACAATGACTAGGATTATATTGGACTCCATTGCTTGCGTACAGCCCCTTACTTAGAGGGCTACCTATGGCCGTCAGTAGAAAGGTGTCAAGTTTATAATCATATGCAGCGTGTACATCATCTGACATAATCAGAATGTAGGCATCACAAAGCATAACAAAATACATATTGAACCATTTGGTTTAAATGCGATTAGCATAAGGCACGTTCGTGCACCATGTTCACTCCGCGGTAATCTTGCAGAGACAAATACTTTCTACTAAGAAATCAAACATTTTGATTGGTAGACAAGGACTCTGTTCTAATCAGTGGTTGCAATCCCCCCCCCCCCCCCCCACACACACACACTCACTATTTCAAATCGGCTGGCTAGCATGACGGGGCCCTGACGTGGGGTGCAGCGTTAAGCACAGGTAGCTGCCTCCACGGCTGGCGGGTCGGGTCAGAGCGGACCCAGAGTACCGTTGGTGCTCGGGTTTATGGGAGCGCTAACCGTATGACTGTTGTCAAATTGCGGAGGCAATTTTCGCAGCTGCGGTGATCTCTGGACGATTTAAATGTAACTATGTGTAACATGATCTACGACTGCTTGGCTGGTTTAGTGACCAAAACTTTATCCACTCATTCGATGCACGTCTTTCACGCAAAGTATTGATGAACAGGAAGCCAGAGACATCCCGCCCTCAGTTCGCATGCAATCATCAAAACACCGAGTGCAGTACGTGTCAATCTGGTCATATCATTCTCGTACTAAGCGCAGACATGAAAATCGAGCGCATGCCTGCGGAGCTGCGCATTAGGGTTGGTCATCAACCTTTTTTTCTCAGATTATAATTGGAATGTGATTTTTGGTGGTGCGGCGTGCTAAAACGTTGATTAGGTACTGAATTACACTAATTGAGAGTTTCTTTTATATATTTCATGCTAACATATGCAATTTCGTGTTTGTTTAGGCGGCATTCTTTGAAAAATAGGTTGATTGTTTCATATTATCAATATGCTAACAATTACATGATTCTACGGAACATTTTAGTTGTAAGAACATTCGTGGTATCCCTGCTGCCAAAGTTGTTTGCATATTAAAAATACATTCACCATAAGCATGACGATAAGCATGATGTTTCACATTTCATAAATAATTCGGGGAATTGCTTCGACGAAACGTTTATTGTAGCGCCGATATTTAAGAGGTCATCAAAGTTTGTGCTGATGAGGGTATTCCAACCCACGGCCGGTACTATGTCTCCAAATGTGTCGAAATAGAGCTCCGATGCTCTTAGGAAGGTCATCAAAAATCCCAAGGAATCCATGGAAGGAAGTTGAGTGGAAAATGAACAACGCTCACTTTGCCAAACCCTTCGCATCGCCAAGGGGAAGTGCCGCTCTCAGAACGCCTACACTTGTCTAGTACGTAACAAAATCCCGGCAGAAGAATGGACATTTGTAAGCGGCCGTTTAATTCGGCGGAAGCCCACTGTTGAAGCCGTCGACAGGGCAACAGCTTCAAGTGAGGACGCTGCAACTCGTTTATCCTACTGCAACTGCAGTGAGGGGGGCACGCCTTCAAAGAAGAGTCCCGATAAAGCTATCATCAACGGCAGGCTGATGATCCTGTACTTGGACTAAGCAACGCCACTTGCAGCTTCGACAAGGACGCGGCGAGCTAGGATGACGCCATGGAAGAGACAGACGACTTCTTGTCGGGTGCCGTCGCCTCCGAGAGGAACGTAGCCAGCCCGTCTCACGCAGCGCTGACTACGGATCGCTATGGGCGTCTACAATCGTGCCGCCGCAGCGTTCATAAATGCCTTTCAGCAGGACATTGGTCGTCTACATAAACTCACGAGATAGATCCTGCATTGTTGACCCGAAAAAGATCTAGCCGGGCAATTGACCCCGAAAGAAGTAAAAACGGCACGCGAGAAACGCAGACGACACCTTGGCGTCGGGATTGACAAGTTGTTGCTTTGATCGAAGGAGAGTCAAACCATACGTTGACCGCGCCGCTGTTACTGAACCTGAGGAGCGCGACATTGTCCTCACTGAGCCGGGAGAGAGGTACGTGACACACTTAACCCTGCTGCCCGGGAGAGCCATTGACGAGCTGACCGAGCTATACTCGACCATTCGACAGTTGGGCGGAGAAGTGAAGGTCTTGGCTGCGG